AGTCCAGCACCTCAAACTTACTTAATTGTAGATGTCTTCACATACACAGTAAGAAAGCTTTCACAGTTCCAACTTTAAGAACTTTAAAGACTCTTTCTGAAATATAGCCTAAGCAGCTTGACAATCCCCTTTAATAGCAGACTCATTCTTTCTAACTCTTAAAGAAATTTACTAATCTCAAATTACAGTACTTGGGTAGATATTCTCTAATTCCTCTATCTTGACTGTGTATTGCCTCTAATTAGCATTTCAGTTTGAGGCTAGAGAGTAGTAATTTTCTCCAGTTCTTCCCTAGGCTTACCCAATTGATCTGTCACTTTTCCCAGGTCTCAAGCTTTACTTTTTGTTCAGTTAACAGTTATGCAACTAACATCTAGTTCTCACTCCCCTCTATTAAGAGCCAAACATAGAAACTCTAATGAAGCTTGTCCAGATTTAACTTTAGAACCAGGAGAGTCTCCAATATCTCTGTATTACTTCAGCCTTTTCCTCTTGTTTCTTAAGTGTGAATGATGGCTAATAGGTTCACCTGCCCTATTTTTGCAGAACACTCAACATTTGGAAGAACTTTCCTAAGAGACACATCTTGTCCTTGAATGATGCCCCTAAGGTCTTTGTCAGTGTGCATGACAGACACAGCTACCTGTCAACATCATCAGAACACATCTGCTAAATTGCACAATTTTCTGTATTTATGTTTTAATGTTCCTGCAATCACAGATTAAATCATTGCAGCCTTTTGACTTTAGTCTGATACAGACTTTAGAATGAACTTGTATAAAGCTAACTAAATTGTATCCAACGTTTTGCACTACCTGCTGATTTCTCCCCTCCCTCCCTTAAAGTGTATCTGTCGTGGATCTCTTGCAGTATTTCTTGTAAATGATTTCATAGCAATTGAGTTGTATTTATTTGCTTATTATTTTGATAAACTCTTTGGGAAGATGCCTTTTTTTGCTGTATAGTCCTGAAAGCAAGCATAAATAGCCCCTTAGAGGAAGTTTATATTTTATTTAATTTGTGATAAGTGCTACAGAATCATAGAATGGCCAAGGTTGGAAGGGGACCTCTGGAGATCATCTAGTCCAACCCCTCTGCTCAAGCAGGGTCCTCTAGAGCACATTGCACAGGATTTCGTCCAGGCAAGTTTGGAATATCTCCAGAGGAGGAGACTCCACAATCTCTCTGGGCAACCTGTTCCAGTGCTCAGTCACCCTCACAGGAAAGAAGTTTTTCTTTGCATTCAGATGGAACTTCCTGTGTTTCAGTTTATGCTTGTTGCCTCTCGTCCTGTCCCTGGGCACCATGGAGAAGAGTCTGGCCCCATCCTCTTGACACCCTCCCTTCAGATACTTGTATATGTTGATGACACCGCCTCTCATCAACAGGCTGAACAGGCCCAGCTCTCGCAGCCTTTCTTCATAGGAGAGATGCTCGAGTCCTCTTATCATCTTTGTAGCCCTCTTTTGGACTCTCTCCAGTGGTGCCATGTCTCTCTTGTCCTGGGGAGCCCAGAACTGGACACAGGACTCCAAATGCAGCCTCCCCAGGGCTGAGGAGAGGGGGAGGATCACCTCCCTCGACCTGCTGGCAACACTCTTCCTCATGCAACCCAGGATACCATTGGCCTTCTTGACCGTGAGGGCACATTGCTGGCTCATGGTCAACTTGTTGTCCACCAGGACTCCCATGGACTTCTCCACAGAGCTGCTCTCCAGCAGGTCAGCCCCCAGCCTGCACTGGGGCATGGGGTTATTCCTCCCTAGGTGCAGGACCCTGCACTTGCCTTGGTTGAACTTCATGAGGTTCCTCCCTGCCTATCTCTCCAGCCTGGTGTATCAGTGACTCCCCCCAGTTTAGTGTCATCAGCAAACTTGTTGGGGGTGTACTGTGTGCCTTCCTCCAGGTCACTGATGAATACATTGAACAGGATTGGACCCAGTACTGACCCCTGGAGGACACTGCTTGCTACAGACCTCCAGCTAGACTCTGCACTTCTGACCACAAATCTCTGAGCTCTGCAGCATTCAGCTATTTCTCAATCCACCTCACCGTCCACTCATCCCACCTATGCTTCCCGAGTTCACCTATGAGGAGTGATGGGAGACAGTGTCAAAAGCCTTGCTGAAGTCTAGGTGGACAACATCCACTGCTCTCCCCTCATCCTCATGGAAGGCTATCATGTTGGTCAAGCATGCTTTCCCTTTGGTGAATCCATGCTGACTACTCCTGATCACCTTCTTGTCCTCCAAAAGGACTTTTGTTCAAGTCCTGTCTACCATTGTCTTCTGCAGTTTACCACCTTCCTTTAGAAACATCTGTTGAAGCTTTGTCTCTGTAATCTTCCAACAGGTCTGAAGGTATGAGCAGTAGAACTGGAAGAACTTAAGTGGAATAATACTTAACTCTCAGCACTCATGGCTACATCCCATCAGGGCCCTTGGATTTGTGGATGTCAAGTTTACCCATGTGATCTCTAACCTGATCCTCCCCAATCAAGGGAAAAGTCTTCCTTTCTCCAGACTTCCTCTCTTGTCCCCAGAGTCTGGAATTCCTGAGGACTGGCCTTAGCAGTAAGGACTGAAGCAAAGTATTCAGCTTAATTCAGGCGGCATTCAGCAACTCTGCCTTCTCTGTATCCTTCGTCACCAGGACACC